CGGCCACCGCGGCGCCAAGCGGCAGGCAGGCCCCACACCACTTGTCCTGAGGCGTCACCAGCTTCCCCTGCTCCCTGCCAGGCCCGGGCGCCTTGGGGGCCTCAGGCAAGGCAGACCCAGGGGGCAGGGGGAGGGCAGGGGGAGGATAAACAGGGAGGCACGGACTGTGAGGTGGGGGCAGCTGGGCCGTGGGCCCAGGCGGGCTGGTGGGAAGACCGGGAGCATCTACCCCGTCCCGCCCTCATCCCCCGGAACTCGGGTTGGGAAATCTGCAGCACAGCTGGGCCAGGTGAGCTCGGGCTCCTTTCTGGCTTAGTGGACCCTCAGCCCCCCAACATTCCAGGGTTTTCTATTCCTTTCACTCTCTGGCAAAACTCCCAGGGCAAGGAATTTTCCAGGGGCTGGAGAGGGAAAGAGCCCCTCAGCCTTCTAGCTCTGGGTCAAGCTCTGCAGGCAAGACTCAGGAGAGAGAGGGACCGGAATGGACACAGGGCCTGTGGCGGGTGGGTTCTCAGGTGGCTCCAGGAGGCCTACCCCCGGGGGTGCACACCCTGCGGGATCCCCTGTCCCAGTGTGGGTGGGCCTGGCCTAATCAGAAGTCAGAGGGATTCGAAGTGTGAGAATTTCTCCTGCTGGCTTCAAGCACATGGCAGGAGCTGCAGGCAGCATCTCAGAGCTCAGAGCCACTCCGCTGACAGCTACAAAGGAAATGGCCTCAAACTTAGGTGCAAAGAACTGAATTCTGCCAACGAGCAGTGAGCCAGGAGGGGGACCCGAGCGTCACATGTGACGGCAGCCCTGCGACACCTGATCTCAGCCTGTGAGACCCTGAGCCAGGGCCCTGCCACCCACGCCCTGACCTACAGAGCCTCTGCTTCCAGCCCCCAAGTTTGCAGTGAACTGTGACGCAGCACAGGTATCTCGTGCAGGTCTGAGTAAACATGCAGGAGGGAAGGAGCGAGGGGAAGGGGGCAGGAAACAAGGTGGGGTGGCTGTAGAGAGGCCCACAGGACCCCGAAGGTCTGGGATCCAGTGAGGCAGCACGGCCCCTGCAGACACCGAATGTCATAACTGGAAATTACACAGCTCAGATTCCAAGTCAGACGAAGAAGAGAAAACGGTGACTGGGGTGCCACGAGGGGTGCAGGCCCCCACGTGTGGCCCGGCCCGGGGTGGGCAGGGGCGGGTGCTTCCCTGGGGCCACGGAACCTCCTGGAGTGCAGGGCGCAGGCAATGCCCCCCTCCCATCCTCTGACTGGAGCTCCTGTTGCAACTCGCTGGCAGATCCTAAACTAGGGTGAACCGCCCCCTGGGACGTGGCCAGAGGTGAGGCTGGTTCCCAGCATCCTTCCCCCGGGACCCCACGCTCCTAGGTGTCCAGACATGTGGTGCTGCCTCAGGAGCAGGCCGAGATCCCTGCATCAAGGACTTCCGCGGAGCCGCCCGAGATCGCTGGCCCCACCCTGCGTACAGAGGAGGACACTGAGGCCCAGAGCAGGCAGGGACTCTCCTGAGGAGGGACCAGGACCCAGGGCTTGGCCGGACACCATGTGGTTGCCCCCACCGCAGGCAGAAGAGCAGAGACGCCTGAGCACGAGGGTCCTCACCCAGCACCCCGCCCCCAAACCCGGGCTCCCTGACCGGCCCTGGAGGCCACGCCTACTTCCCCTTTGCCTCGTCCTCAAGTGCTCCATCCTTCACCCCAACCCGAGATATCTAGAGGCTTCTATGAGGGCAGGCCGAAGGCCTGGGGCTGGAGTTCCCACAGATTTTTCCAGGCCTGTTTGCAAAGCACGTGCGGTCACCAGCTCCCCGCGGGCACGCGAGCACGCGGGCACCCAGCCCAGCAGTGCCGGCCCAGAGGGCCCTGAGGCAGCTCAGCTGGGGCGGGGCCTCATCACCTAAGGACAGGTACACAGGTCCTTTCTGGGGTCCCATTTATCCAGCAGTTGGAAGTGGAGCTTGGAGGCCCCAGGACAAGGATGGAGCACGGCTGCCTCCCCAAGCAGACCCTGCAGGCGGGGCCCTGGGACCCTGCGACTCCTTGGGAAGGACTCCCACCTGGGCCTCACCTGTAGACCGGCCACCTGACAACTGAGCTGCTCTGAGGGCCCCAGCACCCGTATCCAGCCTGGATCTCAAGGATGAGGGGGCTGCTGGGCTGCACTGGCCAGGCCAGGTGAGTATCAATGCAGCACCCCCCTCCCGCAGACTTGGCTCACCTGCTTGGGCACAGGGACCAGTGCAAACTGGGAGAGCCAGTCCCCAGGAGGCACCTTCAAGGCTCCACTTGAGGAAAAGCACAAGACGGGGCTTCGGCACTGGGGCAGCTGGGGCAGCTGGGACAGCACCCAGACTTGCTGGGGGCCAGGAGGTGCTCACTCAAGAGCCGGGGGCGCCTCCCAGAGGCAGATGGTGGGACTGCGCCTGCTCCCTGTGGTGGGTGCCAGACCTGGGGGACGAGGGAGTAGGGGGGCGGGGGGGGGCAACACCCCAGGGGGCAGGACCGGAGAGGAGGGTGGGGCTGCCCTCCTTGGATCTCCACCTGCCCCTCACCCACGGCAAGGCTGAAGGGCGCCATGCGAACGGGGCAAGTCCTTGGAGGATGCCATCATGGGGATGACAGTCAGGGAAAAGGCAGTCTGGGGGGTGACACCCTGGGGGCTAGGTGACTCTGCAGACAGAACTTCCCTGGTTCTTCCTCAGTCACCTCGTCTCTGAGGTGAAGGAGGGGTGGGGGGAGAGAAGACAGCGGGTGACAGACGGTAGGAGGTAAACGAGGGAGGGCAGGTACAGGGACGTAGGTGACTGACAGGTAGGCAGGCAGGACAGACGGACGGAGGGAGAGGGACAGACCTGTCTGCACACGCGCCCCCCAACCCCCAGCGCTGCAGACACAGGTGCGCACAGCCAAGTCAGAGGGCACACGTCTGGCTGATGGAAGCAAAGCGGCTCAAAGCAAAGCCGCAGCTTAGGAAGGGATGGTGCCGGGTAAAGCCCCAGTGCGCTCGGAGTCTGGGCCTGGGCCCGGGCCCGGGCCCGGGCCCGGGCCGGGGAGGGGCTCAAACCTCGCAGGAACAGCTGCTGGCGGAGGGAGACAGATGAGGCACCACCTGATACGCTTCCTTCCAGCCAAACCCGGTGTGGGATGTAAATCCGCCCAACTGACAGGACAGGGGGCCCCACTGCAGGGTCAGCCGGAAGCTCACTGGGAGATGGCAGGTGAGGACCCAGAGGCCTCAGATGGGATGGGGGCCACTGCCGCGGCTGGGGCTGGATCACACCTGGCCTTCCCTTCCTCCTGCTGGGAGCATAGCACAGGAGGGGCCTCTCCTTTATCCGCTGCCCCACAGTCCAGGCCCCAACACGGCTGGCCTGGAGTCAGCACACAGTCCAGGCCCCAACACGGCTGGCCTGGAGTCAGCACCCCGCCCCCTACCTCGTGCCAGGCCCTAGTGACCACATGGCTGTTTGTAAGGCAGGAGGTAAAAGGTCAGATCCACCCCAGGCAGTGGCAGAAGGCGTCTCAGTCAGGGGCTGCTGAGGGGGCTGTCCCCAGACCCACCCTCCATCCCACGACTGGAGGGACGGGTCCCAAACTGCCCTGGCTGGCCCCTCTCCTGCAGGAAGGTCTGGTTCACACGGCCCCTCCTCCCCCCACCCCTGAACGAGAGCCCTCCCCGTCGGCCTCTAGACTCAGGCCAGAGCTGCTCCCGCTTTGATTAGGGCATCCGTAGCTACCCGGCTCCAACTGGCCCCAGCTGCAACGGGGAGCTTTGGAGCCACAGGGGTTTGATGAGCAAACACGGAACACTGGGCTGACCTAAGCGCTTTGAGAGCTTAAGGCTGTTGTTCTGAACCTTTCTCCACAAGACGGCTGAGGAGGACGAGGTTTAACCCAGGCGACCCACGGCGGAGAGCCCGGAACCCCTGGCCACCTCTGGTTATCAGGCTCCAGTCTGTCCACGTGACACAGGAGTGGGGCTCCCCAGCCCCGGTAGTTAACCAGCTCCAGGGCTCCTGCTTACTCTCCCAGGAAGAGAACCTTTAGCAGAGCTGGTGACAACTGGGAAGCAATAAAACACACTTGCTACCAGCTCTTAAGTCACATCAGACAGTGATACTTGCTCTAGACCCCAGCTGCTCCAGAAACCTGTGAATGAACAACTGAGCCTGGTGATCAGTAACCACGGTGGGGGTCCCTGCTGGTCCGAAAGCCTCACGTGGGTTTCTTCCCCAAAGTAAAGGAGGCCCTGAGCACCGGGCTTCTTTGGGGGTAAACGAAAATGTCCTAAAATGGACCTGGGTGAGGGACACACAACCCAACGGATACACGAAGCACCACCGGCTCATACACTTCAAACGGGCGGAATGACTGGTGTACAAAGTGCACTCAATCAAGTTGTTAAAAACAAAT